TACTATATTTGGTATCATTTTGTCTTACTGTTTTCTCTAAGAACTCTTTATAAATGTGATTTGTTAATGGAGCACTTTTTACAACAAAACTATACTTGAACAGTTCCAAACTGTACATACTGTATGAAGCCTCTCCTGTCATTGGATTTCTTATTTCTATGTGGAATTTCTTATCTTGCAATGTCCTGTAAATAAAAATTACGTTCCACTCTAAAAAAAAAAAATTCACTGGTTTTGAAGAAGAGCCACTGTAATGCTGCTTACAGACAAGGATGTTGAGGCTTTTCTCACACACTTTGGGCATGTTATCAGCCTAGAACAATCCCTAAAGAAATATACTATGCTTGGTAAAGCAGAAGATTGACAAAAAAAGACCCTCAAAGAGAGGGATTCATACATGACAGCCATAATGGGCTCAGGGACAGCAGTGATTCTGAAGGTAACATGGGATGAGACACTGCTTCATTCTGTTGTATAGAGGGTCACTGTGAGTCAGAACTGACTTAATAGCCCAAACAGCAACAAATTAGAGTTTATTATTCCCATGAAACATTTTATACTGAAACCAGTTATGTATGTGCATGTTGCTTTGCATCGTTTCAGTGTAAAATGAAATCATCATCCTGTGTATATTATCATGAAACTGGTATTTTTCAAAAAAACATTATGTTTTTGAGATTTTCTGTCCATGTTTATATATATGGCTCCAGTTCATTAATTTTAACTGCATAGTAGTCTATTGTATCACTGTATCATTGAATGGGAGATTTTAATTGCATGCGATTTTTTGTATTACAATAGAAATACACTGAATGAACATTCTAACTTATGTCTCCTTGTACATAATTGCTAGCATTTCTCTAGAATATAATGAGGATTGGAATTTTTTTAATTGAAAGGGATGCTTATTTGTACATAAGTTAGACATTTTTACAAGGATTTAATTTTACAAAATTAAAACATGGCTGTTTTAGGAAATAAATATATAAATGAACATCTTTACAAACAATATGTTAGGCTTCCTTTTGCTGTGTATGTCTACCAGTACTTGCGATGGTTAATACTTGCTAGTTAATTTTCCCAGTTAAGTAGGTGTAAAATTATATTTCTGTTTTACCTGGGTGTTAGTTTATACCTCTTGTTTATACCTCTTCTCTTTTTACCACTCCCTTTTACCAATTAGAGTAAGCATTTTTCTTGTTTGCTCTTTCTTTTGTGAATGACTTCTTCATATGTTTTGTCCATTTTTCAAATGCACTGTATTTTTTCTTTATGAATAGCTAGAATCTTTTAAAAATAAAAACATTAACAACATCTTTCATTGCCTAGAGGTTTTAATTTTAGTGAAGTTCATAAATATTTTCTGTATGGTTTATACTTATGTAATTTTACAAATTATTTTTATAATGAAGTCATAGATTTATTCTCCTGTTTTCTTCCCAAAGTTTTAACATTTCATATTCCCCATCATGATCTTTAACATAACTGAAATTCATATTTGTTTATGATATTTAAAGTAGTTTGTTTTATTTTATCCTATAACAGAGATAATGGGGGTAGATTGTCAGAGACAGTGAGATTGGCTCAGGAGAGGGCAGAGTTCAGAGATATGGTGCATAGGGTTGCTGTGAGTCACAGTTGACTCCACGGCACCTAACAGCAATAGCAGTATGAATAATTGATTATCCACACACTGCTTACTGAAGAATTTAATGTTTTCAATTATGATTTTTAACATCCCCTTTATTTTATTTACTTATTACATCAAATTCCAGTTCCTTTGTTTTTTTTCCTCCCTTTCTGTTATGTTCCATTGATCTATTTGCCTCTTCCTTTGAGTTGTGGTGTTAAAGAAGAGTACTGTATCCCGTGGAGTGCCAAGAGAACAAACAAGTCTGTCATGGAGAAAGTGAAACCAGAGGGCTTCCTGGAAACAAGGATGATGACACTTCATCTCACAAACTTTGGGCATATCAGGAGGGGCCAGTCCTTGGAGAAGGATGTCATGCTTGGAAAGGTGGAGGAGGTTAAGCATGAGAGAAGACGACACTCAACAAAAAGGATTGATATAGTGACTATTGCAATGGATTCAAGTGTGTCAGAATGGTGAGGATGGCACAGGATTCAGATCTGTTGTTCATAGGGTCCGCTATGAGTCACAGTCAACTTGGCAGCATAGAACAACTTTATCCATTTATACAGTTCTAGTGACAGAAAAGTTACATGTGTTGCTTGCTGATTGAAAATTATGCCATTTGAATCCACCCACTGCTCTGTGGGATAAAAGGTAGACAGTCTTCTATAAGATTTGCAGCCTCAGAAACCCCATAGAGGGTTGCTGTGTGTCAGAATTCACTTGAGGGCAGTGGCTTTTCAGTTTGTTGTTTTTATCTGTGTAAACAGGAACTCTCGTGGCACTATGATGATGTGCTTGACTGTTAATTGAAAGATTGGCAATTCTGATTCACTTAGTAGTTCTGTGGGAGAAAAGACCCAGTGAGCTACATTCATAGGATTAAAGCCAGAAAAAAAGGGCAGTTTTACTTTCTCCTGGGCTCTCTCTATGTTGGAATTGATTCAGTGACACCCCACAAAAACAACAGTTCCATATCGCATAGCCATAATAACTGCTGTCATTTCATGACAGCGTCTAGTTGTTGCACTTTGTTAGCTAGTGTCTAATTGAATCCAACTTATTGCACCCCTGAGTGCAGTGGGATGAAACCCTCCTTGATCCTGCACCATCCTCCCAATTTTAGCCTTGCTTAAGCTCATTGTTACAGTCTTTGCCACATTCCCTCTAGTTAAAGGTCTTCTTCTTTTTCACTGATCCTCTACTTTCTTGGATGTAAAATCATTCCCCAGAGACTGGGCCCTCTTGGTAGCATGCCCCAAAATATGTGAAACAGAGTCTTAACATTCTTGCTTTTCAAGAGCACTCTAATAGTACTTCTTCCTAGATAGAATTGGCAGTCTGTAGTATATTCGATCAACATCACAAAGGCATAACTATTTCTCAGTCTTTCTTTTTCTTTCTTTTTTAAGCAAAACAAGTGAAAAATGTTTATTAAGGTAATAAGACAGAGGCATAGCTAGTGGAAGGTAGGCTATGCAAAAGAGTGAAAGTGAAAAAAGAAAAGAGAAAAGGAGGAAAGGACCTCCCAGAAAGACAGAGGCAACCCCAAATCTTAGAGCATGATGTCAACAGAAAAGGGGAGAAAAAAGCTTCTCAGTCTTTCTTATTCATTGCCCATCTTTCACATGCATATGGTGCAATTGAAAATGCCATGATTTGGGTCAGGTGTACCTTTGTCATCAAAGTGACATCCTTCCTCTTTAACACTTGACAGCAGTTGGTGAAGGATTTTTCTTAGCTCTTCACTCTTAATATGAATTTTCAAATCAATTTCTCAAATGCTATGAAATGCATTAATATTTTATATCAGTGTACTGTCTTTTGTCTATCTCATTTGTAAGGGAGAGCTGGTGGCCTAGTGGCAAGAGACTGTGCTGCAATCCTAAAGGCACGTGGTTCAAGGCCACTAGCTGCTTTACAGGATGGGCAATCTCCTCTGATGCGATTAACTGCCTCTGAAAGCCCACTGGAGGGTCTGCTAAGGGTTGGTTCTGATTTTATGGTATAAAACAACTCCATTTGTGTGTTTTTCCTATTTATAGAGGAAAATTATTTCTTCACTTATCACTTTGATTATCCTATTTATACCCAGTATTGAGTTGTCGTTTTGGAAGTTTCATGAGGTTTGTGCCAAATAAAGTGAATTAATGGTCTTTATATATTATTGCCTGTTTTATTTATATTAACATTATACTTCTTCATATTTTTTTCATGGCTTTCAGTCCATCTTTGAGGGGAAAAATACATTTTGTTTAGGGGCACCCCTCCCCACCATCACCCACACATTCAGTATCATCCCCAGTGCAGAGCCAGGTCCTGCAGTAGCATTTGTACAGATCAGTCTCTGAGCCATCAAACAAATTGGTTGAGTTACTAGTCTTCAACATGTGCAAACAGGTGAGAACCTATCATACATATAAACCACACACAGCTACAGGTTGTTAGGGATGTCTAGAATGTGTGTGGGTAGAGTATAGAGATGCAGAAAAGTGATAGGAAATGAGTGGTTGAAAATAAGGCAGGGATAGATCATAACAGGCTGGCATATGAACGGATGAGCCATTAAAGACTGTAGCCAGAAGAGTAGCATGATCAGACCTGTATTTTTAGAAGTTATACTTAGGAAGTTCATATAATGATGAACTATAAGGGAGTCAAGGTCGAAGCCGGTTTTGATTATCCAGAGGAAATACAACGAGGGTTAAACTCAAGCACAGAGGCTGTGTTGTGCATGCTGTTGTTGTTGTTAGGTGCTAGTGAGTTGACCGTGACTCACAATGACCCTGTGAACAACAGATGTGAACCTTACCCTATCCTGTACCATTTTGAGCGTCTCTACCACGCTTAAGCCCATTTTGGTAGTCACTGCATTGTGGTGTGTCTGCAGGATATGACGCCTGGGTTGTAAGGCCTAAGTAAAAGGCTGATGGAAGGCTCCTAGGGTTTTGCTCATGATGTCATCATGATAAGGGAACACACAAAGAAGGACAAATTCACAGAAGAAACAGTCAGTTCAATTTGAAGCATATTGACTTTGAAGGTAATCGTGAAATTAAAAGTGACCAGGTAGTTTAATCAGTGGTCAAAGCACTTGGCTTCTGGCTAAAAGGTTGCCTTTTTATACCCACCTGCTGGTGGCTAAGAGAACGATGTGGGGCAGTGAGCTTCTGTAAAGATCAAATATTTAGAAACAAAATGGGATTATTCTATTCTGACCTACAGGGTTGCTATGAGTCCGATTTAAAAATTGGCTCAGTTTGTTTGTTTCCGTAGTCGTGCACTGACACATTCACACACGTTCATTGACTGAGCTTTGATCAAATCCTTTATATACTTAGCTCTACAGAGGACACAAAACAAAAGATTGGGACAAAAACAAGACACAAAAACAAGAGAGTGGGACAAAAGATCAGCATATTTCAGTGAGAGGGCTGTAGCAATAAAGGTACACAACCACTTACTTATTCCCATCAGTGATGTAATGTGTAAAGAAAAAGTGAGGGTGCATCACACTGGCACAGAATAAAATGGCAGACTTGAGTGTCATTCTGTTTTTCATACTGTTCTTTGGTCTTCAAGCCAGCTCATAACTCTCCAAGCCTGGTGGAATCCTCTGTGGTCAATGTGATGGAGGTAATTTTCCACACTTATCTTGTTGTTGTTGTTATGTGCCATCGAGTCGCCTGCGGCTCATAGCGACCCTATGTACAACAGCCCTAAACTCTGCCTTATCCTGTGCCAATCTCACCATCTCCGACATACCTACCCCCAGTGTGAATCAATCCATCTCATCAAGGGTCTTCCTCTCCTGCGTTGTCCCTCCACCCTTCCTTCCAAGCATGACATACCTCTCCGAGGACTGGTCCCTCCTTGCAACATGCCCAAAGTATGTCAGATGAAGCTTCAGGATACTTGCCTCCAAGGAGCAGTCCGGCTTCACCCTCTCCAGGACAAAGCTCTTTGTTTTCCTAGCAGCCCATGGTATATTCAATACTCTTCTCCAATACCACAGCTCAAAGGCATAAATTCTCCTTCTATCATGCCTAGTCATTGCCAGCTCTCTGATGCATAGCAAGTGATTGCAAAGATCATGGAATGTGTCAGGTGCACCTTAGTCTCCAAACTGACCTCATTGCACTGCAGCCCTTTAGAGAGAGGTCTCTAACCACCGACTTTCCCATCACAATTTTAATTTCCTGGCTGCTGGTGCCAAGAGTGTTGACTGTGGAGCCAAACAAACCAAAACTGAACAATCTCAATCTCTTCACCATCCATCCTGATGCTGCCAATCAGCCCAGTGGTGAGAATCTTTGTTAACATTATAAATATCAAGGAAACAATGAACATAAGTCCATTCTCAGTCTGGCCAGTATTGGTCCTGGCCAGTGATGGGACATTTGACTTATAAATAAATAGGATAAGCAAATGAGTGTGTGGTGTATGAAAGGTGGGCCTCAGAGGTAGAAGTCTATGTTTGGGGGATTGGGATTCAGAGTCTTGTGACACCACTTAAAGCTATGTGACTTTAATAAGTGATATTACATGGTCCTAGCATTAGTGTCTTCATCTTTAGGATAACTAAATCACAGCTGCCACACACAGCCTTCATGAATCCTAACTACGATAACGAGTAAAAAGGCATCTGGTGCATGCATGATAGGTTCTCACTAAATGTCTTTAAACCCTATTTGTATATCAAGTATGGGCCTAAGAGATAAAAGGTGATAACTCATAAAGGTTAATAAAATAACATATCCTTTATGCTATACCTTTTCTTTGATGTACAGATGGAAATATTTAGGCAATAATTGATCTCCAGCCCTCCACGCTACTCAGATATTTCTTCTGAAGAGGCAAGCCCCATCCCCATAAAAATTTCTCAAGACTAGAGAACTAAAAATATCTTAACATGATAAGCACCTGGAAATTAAAATTTAAATACCTATTCTCTGAATTTGTTTCAGTCCATTAATCATTTTTCTTTTAAAGCAGTTATTAAGCATCTTGGGTTGCCAGTAAGTAAAATTATCTTTGTCTCATTTAGGAACCGATGAGAAAGTGCTCATCAGCATTCTGACGGAGAGGTCGAACGCTCAGAGGCAGCTGATTGTTAAGGAATACCAAGCAGCATATGGAAAGGTACAATTTGATTAACATAACAGCAAATAAAGTGATAATCATTCATGTATCAGTGATGCTCCCTTGTGGATATGCCAGCAGAGCTTTTGCTTCAAGCCTAGTATAATATCAGGAAGTACCCTGTGTGTATCCACTCAACAACCTTGAATTTGTGCCTTGGCTCTGCCTTTAGCTAGTGGAATGGCCTTGGGCTTGTTGCGTGAGCTTTCTGGGCTTCAGTTTTTTCATAAAAGGAGGGCTCTTCTGCTCTCCTCACTTCTTGCTGCTTACTGTCCTTTCCTGCCACCCCATGCACTTTGGCTCCATGCCCCACAAAATTGTGAAAATCAAAGATGTTCTGCTCACGATGAGGGGAAAGGGATGCCAAATCTGTCAAGACCAAGAACAACAAAAATGATAAGGAGTTTACAGTTTGGTGCAGCAGATACCTTTATGCCTTAGTCCTCACAAACAGAAAGAGAGCAGACAAAAGGAAGTGGTCCTTGCTCCTAGGTTTGGCAGGAAAGGCACTGAAATGAACATGCTGATTTAAATGAATATTTTTACATTTTAAAAACAAATAAATCATATAGAGTTGTCTTACACTGTTGCTTATAAATTGGTTGTCTCTGCAACAGTTGAGCCCATTGTTGCAGTCACTGTCTATCTATCTTCTTGCGGGCCTCCTCCTCCTTTGCTGAGTTGATGAGGATGGCACAGGATAGGGCAAAGTTCAGATCAATGGTTCATAGGGTTGCTGTGGGTTATGGTTGGCTCAACAGCACCTAACAACATTTTCATTCTAATTTTCCTCCCTAGGAGACATTTAGCAATGTCTGGGGACATTTTTGGTTGTTGCACCAAGCAGAGAATGATACTGTTGAAGTGTAGGCCAGGGATTCTGCTAAACATTGTATAATACACATCTCTTAAAACTCATCAGCAACCTACAATATGCAGATGACACAACCTTGCTTGCTGAAACTAAGGAGGACCTGGAGCACTTGCTGCAAAGGGAAAGGACTGTTGTCTTCATGCAAATATCAAGAAGATGAAGATTCTCACCACTGGTCCAGTTGGCAGCACCATGATAGATAGAGAAGAGATTGAGGTTGTTAATAGTTACAGCTTGGTTGGCTCCACAGTCAACACTCTTTACACCAGCAGTCAGGAAATCAGAAGATGAATGGAGTTAGGTAAATCTCCTCTCAGGGACCTTTCCAGAGTACTGAAATGCGAAGATGTCAGTCTAGAAACTGAGGTGCGCCTGATCCAGGCCATGGTCTTTGCAATTACTTGCTATGCATCATAGAGCTGGATAATGACTAAGGATGACAGAAGAATTGATGCCTATGAGTTGTGGTGCTGGAGAAGATTCTTGAACATACCATGGACAGTCAAGAATACAAATAAGTCTGTCATTGAGATGGTGAGACCAAGTTTTTTCTTGGAGGCTAGGATTTTGAAGCTCCATCGCACATACTTTGGGCATGTGCCCAGGAGGGACTGATCCTTTGAGAAGGGCATCCTGCCCGGAAGGGTAGAGGGACAGCAAAGGACAGGAAGACCTCAGATGAGATGGTTTGATACAGTAACTAGGACAATTGAAGTAGGTGTGTCAGAGTCATTGAGACTGTCTCAGGATAGGGCAGGCTTCAGAGCTGTTGTACATAGTGTTGCTATGAGTTGCAGGTGACTTAACAACACATAACAACAACAACAGCCCTAAATGAAAACAGTGCCACAAGTGATAGTTTTAAATGATCTTTTATTTGCCTTCCAAATTTAAAATATTTATGCAATTGTTTAACTCATTCATCAAGTAAAATTCTTTATGTGCAAGAAATTATATAGGAATATGTTAGTTTTGGGTCTTGCCACCTAAACAGTTTATTTGGTCTGCACGTATTTGTTGAGTGCTACAGAATCAGGAAAGATCCTGGTGGCACAGTGATTAAACGCTTGGCTGCCAAGTGCATGTGCAACAATTCAAACACACCAGCAGCTCTGCAAGAGAAAAGACCTGAGGGTCTGCTGCCATAGAAAGTACAACCTTGGAAACTCCGTGAGGCTCTTCTGTACTGTCATATGTGGTCATCCTGAGTTGGAATTGACTCAAGGGCACCCAACAACAATGTAAGTGTTAGAAAGTATCCTAAATACTGAGGAGCAATGGTGTCAAATAGATATGTTTTCATTAAGTTAGTACTCTGTTGGAGCTATAATAAACAAGTAAATAAATCCATATATAGTAAGTGCTATGAAAAAATTAAAATGTGATATTGAACAGCTCCATCACATAGAATAGTAATGACATGTAAATGTGAGATTTTGCTACCTTCCTGTCCACCACGACTCCATAATTCTGTGGCATTACTTAGAGGAGGTACAGCAAAAGCAAAAGCTCTGAGTCAGAAACAAACAGAATGATTGAGAAGCGGAAAAAAATAAGAAAATGGTGGCAATGTAGATAATGAAAGGTAGCAGAGAAGAGCATGAGATTGAGGAGACGTTCAACACGTTCTGGACCTTGGGGTCTTGGCAGAGGGTTTAGGTTTATTCTAAAGATAGTGGGGGTGGGGGTGGGGGTGGGGGTGGACTCATACAGGCTATGATGATTTGATGTATGTGTTGGCTTGTGCCCGTATCATTGTGGCAGTGTGGAAAGTCTCTCTTTCAGGAATAGTCTGAGAGCAAGCAAGCATTCATTGATATTCCTGAATAATGAAAACAGAAACCACGTATCTAACTTTAAGCAGTGGCGAGGGCCCAAGCTCATGCGGTCAGGTGCTGTGTGATCGGCTCAGACACAGATCCCATGCACAATGTTCTGCCTATCCCCGCCTTATCCCTACAATCTCTGCACACTTAGGCTCATTGTAGCAGCCACCGTGATGGCCCATCTCATTGAAGGTCTTTCTCTTTTTGCAAATCTTCTACTACTTTACCAATGAGAAGATGTACAATGTTTGGGAAATCTGCTGTCAAAGACTACCTTTAAATTGCTAAAGAGTAACGATACCGGTTTAAAGACTGAGGTATGCCTGATATCCAAGCCATGATAGTTTTAGTTGCTTCATATGTACCTGAAAGTTGGACAGTAAATAAGGAAGACTGAGAAGAATTGATGCCTTTGAGTTGTGGTGTCCCTGATAAGTATTGAATATCCCATGAACTAGCAAAAGAATAAACAAACCTGTCTTGGAAAAAGTACAGTGACACTGTTCCTTCATCTCACACTCTTTGGGCATGTTGTCAGAAGAACCAGTTCTTGCAAAAAGAAGTCATGCTGGGGTTGGTAGAGAGGGTCAGAGAAAGTGAAGAAGATCTGTGAGTTGAGTTGACACAGAGACTGTAACAATGGGCTTGAGTGTGGTAAAGACTGAAGATGGTTCTGGATAGAGCAGAGTTTTGGTCTGCTGTTCATAGGGTTCTGGTGAGGCCTACTTGACTTGATGGCACCTAACAACAATACAACTATGTTTCCAAGCAAAGTGCCCTTCCCCACGGACTTGCACTTCCTGAAAACAAGCTCAGATTATATGAGGCAACATTTAACATTGCTGTCTCTGCTTGTTTCAAGATAGATTTATTTGTTCTATTTCAAAGATATGTTTAGTATATTTCATGATTTAAAATTTTAAGTACTATGTGACACTGTGCTGAAGTCCAATATCAGTGAGTTATGTCCACCCCTTTGCCACAAATCGGGATTTCTTTACTTCTGTTGTAGAAGATTGCTTCTTATTCCCTTAAACTACATGCTTCCATCAGACATTAGTGACCAACTAAGATACTCCCTTCCTTTCTTCTCCTTCCTAATCTCTTTACTGGAAAGGAAGAACCCAGAAAAAAAGGCCCCTTTCAGTGATGCTGAGTGTGAAATTGTAAGGCTCCTCTTTCACCCTTCTTTCCAGCCTCACTATTGAGAGCACTGAGGATGTAGACCGTGCATATTAACTCACAGGTCTGGAGCTTCCATAGTAAGATGGCCTAGGAAGACAAGCCTGGGGGCTCACTTCTTAAATCAACCAGAGAAAACCCTATGGATCACAGTGATCCTATTCACATCCTATCGTAAGCATTGCACCAGACCAGACAGGACTTTGTTCCCTCGTGAATGGCATTGTCCTGAGTTGGAGTCACCTGAAGAGTGCTAACAACAACAGCAACTGTGGCATGCATATAGTAGCCTCCTTCAAGCTTTTGTGCAGAAGCATTTTCTAAAACATTTTTAAAATAGTCATAAAATGCAGATTAATATCCATTGAAGACATCTTTGACATTTCTGGTTAGTCCCAGCAGGTATGCATGTTTTCATCTGAACTTGAGACATATGTTCAGCTTTCACTAGGTGACCTTTAAAACTATTTCATGCTCCCTCTTCGGGATTTTTTTTTTATTTCAGGAATTGAAAGATGACTTGAAAGGTGATCTCTCTGGGAATTTTGAGCATATCATGGTGGCCCTCGTGACTCCACCAGCAGTGTTTGATGCCAAGCAGCTGAAGAAATCCATGAAGGTATGAACACTAGCCCAAGCCTTTCAGCCCGGAATTTGACTGTCTTCAAAAATAGGGCCTTTGTTCCAGTGCCCCTTTAGCTATGATTGTAACTCTGGTGGACACGGAAGACATTTGAATGCTGTGCTTTCCAGTTGGAGTGACTGAAACAAGGACTTGTGAACTTTGAGGCTACATCATCCTAAGTCAGTAGGGTCTTGTCATATCCTTGTTTGTAGAGTCCAGTGTCATTAAGAGTATATGGTGTCATCATAAATCATATTTCTTAGGCCAAAAGTCAGTATTATCTTTGATCTCTTGATTATCTTTAGTAACTCCATTATAGCTACTATCCAAATGTGCACATTTCTCTCACAATCTTATTACAATCCATCATGGTTTGGATGGACTATTTCAGTACCCTCCTAACTGGTCTGTTTGCCTCTATTTTTGCTCACCTTTGACCTTGTATTTCACAGTCTTATGATACAAACCGGCAATACTGGCAAAAATTGTTGTAATTGCAAATCACACATTTTACTGGGGACTGTGAGGTCCAATGTTCATTTATAATTTCACATAAAATCAATCCAGGTGAGCTCTGGTGGCCTAGTGGCAAGAAGCTGCACTGCAATCCCAGAGGTGAGCAGTTCAAATCCACCATATGCTCTGCTGGAGAAGTAGGGACAATCTCCTTATCTACCAATCAGATCTGATTTGATCACAGACACACACACACACACACACACACACACACACACACACGCACACATTCCAAAAGGTAAGGCATTAAAGACAATTCAAATCTTATCAGTCAGTCAAGTACTAATATCAAAACAGTCATGTCTAACAACTAATTATCCATAGCCAGTAGTCAAACAAGCACAATGTTTACCACAGCAGACTGTTCATTGTGAAAATCAAGCAGGGAGGCTGTAGATAGGAAATGTCAGACACTGAGGTGGTCTGTTCTGTTCAAAATTCTCTAGGTTGCAGCTCTGAGAATAGGGTTTAATGACATTATTCTGTGCAGAGAGTAATTTCAGTCTGAGTCTTCCAGATATAGGGTTTCACCAGTCAGAATTGAGGTATCTGTTTTCCACATAAATACCTGCTGACCTTTAAAGTTCCCTTCAGAAATATAGCCAATCAGGATTGGAGAATTTCTTCTCCTGATTTGGCCTCTAGTTTTAATATAGCATTTTATAATTAACTCGTTAAGTCTCTGGGCCTAATATAGCATCTTTTGATCAAGATGTGTGTTTAACATTCTCCTCTTTAGCCTTAGCTATCCTGAGTGCTCTTTGGAGACAAGAATGATGAGGCTTCACCTAACATATTTTGGGAATATTACTAGAAGGGGCTATTCCTTGGAGAAGAACTTGAAGCTCGGAGGGATGAAGGGTCAGTGAAGGAGAGGAAGATCCTCAATTAAGTGAATTGATACTGTGACTGCTACAATGGGCTCTTGTGTGTTGGAAAGTGTGAGGATGGTGTAGTATAGAACAGGGTTCAGACCTTTTGTTCATAGGGTCATGCTTGACTCAATGCAACTAACAACAAGAATCTGACACACACTTGCTTGCCAAATTCTAACATTCTAAACTTTAGCTTACAAAGTCATTCTGTATTTTTCAGTATGCTCTTAACACTAACACATGTTTGGTTATTAAATGTCAATATTCTAAACATAAAGTTAATTCTATATTTGTAACAACATACTAGGCATCATGCCATCATGTTCTTATCTCACTTCACATAACTATACTTCCCGTCATACTTAACACAGCAAATATAATCCCTTCTAACCAAATATGACACAAGCAAATATTTATTCCTCTCTTACCATTTTAAACATTCCATGGACCACCAATAAAACAAATTGGTCTGTTTTGGAGAGGATGAAACCAAGTTTTTCCTGGAGGCTAGGATTTTGAAGCTCTGTCTCACATACTTGGGGCATGTTGCCAGGAGGGACCTATCCTTGGAGAAAGACATCATGCTTGGAAGGGTGAAGGAACAGCACAGGAGAGGAAGATCCTGGACGAGATGGATGGATAGAATAACTGGCGCAATGGTGTAGGTGTGTCGGAGTCAGTGAGACAATGAGGCAGGCTTCAGAGCTGCTGTATGAGTCACATTAGAAGGCACGTTAACAACAGCAGCAACAACAACATTTTTAGTTAACTGACAGACTTATGCTCTTAACATATAGATTTTTCACAAAATATCCAAAAATAATGTCCTGTACATGTAACTAGGGAGTTCTGGTGGCCTAGTGACAAGAAGCTGCACTGCAGTCCTGAAGGTATGCGTTCAAGGCCACCAGCTCCTCTGTGGGACAAGGATGCATAGTCTCCTCATGTATGATTAACTGCCTCTGAAAACACCAGTGGGTCCAACTGTGGGTCTGTTCTGATACTATGGTACACAACAACAGCAACAACATGTAATTAAGATTATTCTATTTGTGTACATAAATCTCCAGTGGCTTTCCTTTATTGTATAACACTCAGGCACTTGCCTATCTCTGAGACTTTTTAAAAAAATACTGAGAAAAGATTCTCTCACCTTGGTTACTTTAGCTGCTGGCCTTCTTACTAATCTTTGAACGTTGTAAACTTGTTCCCTTCTTGGGGATTTTATATGTTATGTTCCTTCTCTGGAATGTTTTTTTTCCCCCAGATCTTTTCTATAAATTCACTCAATTTTGTTTTCCTAACTACACTTATTATTTTTGTTCTATTGTAAAAAACTTTTATTGGAGTGGATGTTTATATATAAAAAATTTATTTTTACATTCAATACCTCATACTCATTATGTTTAATAATATTGATTACAATCCTTACATGGTAACAACACTTCCCAAGTCTTCCTACTGTTTCCCTTTTCCATTTATTCTACTTTCCTATGCCTTCTTGCCTTCTGAACTTTAGTTATTTAAAAGTATCTTGTTTCATCTCAATGAAGGACAGTATGGAACATAATGTATACAAACTTTGTAAGCAAGTCAATATAAAATAAAATTTTAAAATTATATTTTGTTTATTGCTTTTCAACTAAGAAAATGGCTTCCATATAGCAGGGAATCACATCCAAGGGCCCAGAGTGAAGTAAGTAATTAGTACATATTTGCCAAAGGAAAGAAAGACAGAGGGAGTGTAGGCTGGAGGCATAACCATATTCTGCCTCTTCAAGTAGGAATGCTTCTCTTTTGTGTGAAAGCAGTATGAGTGATGGTTCAGACTGTCCAAGAAGCAGATGACAAGGTTGAATTGTATGGGAAAGAAGTTTATTGTGTGAGTATCTATGGAAGATAAAGGAGAGAAAGAGCACGGTAGATGGATGAGCATTCAGATTCTGTTACAGGAGTGGCACTTGTAAAAGGAGATGAAAAAGGAAGTAGACTAGGAAAGGAAGAGCTTCAATCTCTAGTGACAGTTTGAGAGATTCTCGGCTGAATGATAAGGGACCCCTAAACTGAAGCACAGCATAAATATGATTGTTCTTAGAAAGAGTCCTGAGTTGGGCAGAAGCAGCCCAGCTCCAGTGCTCCTATTGTATTTGACACTGGCTGGAAACAGCTTGGAGGGAGCAGAGTGATATGACAATTGGTCAGCTAATTGCTTTGCAACATATTCTTGCAAAGGGAGAGTGGAGGACCACACGTTTATGGCCAACTGAAAGGTGAAGTGTTAAAAAGTTGTTAGTAGTAAGGATTTGGTTCACCTACAAGAATAAAACAAATTATCTTTTTCATGATATAAATACAAATAAGCAGTCCAGAGCTAGGTGTGGTACGACCACTGTTATCAGGGACTTGGCTCAGCTATCTTCAGCCCGTGGCTTTCACTTCTTAGTGAGCTCCAGTCATTATGTCATCATTTCTGTAAACCAAAAGGAGTAAGGAGAAAAGCAAAGTCTGCTTTCTGAGGACATTACCCCCTATGAGACAGATTGACACAGTGACTGCCACAAAGAGACCAAGTGTATCAGAGATGGCCAAGACAGCACAGGACACGACAGGATTCAGATCTGTTCGTAGGATTGCTGTGAGGCGTACTCAACTGGGCAGCACCTAACAGAAAACACCACCACCAACACTACCAGAAATTCTGCATATTCCAGATCTTAATTACATGACTAAACATAGCTACAAAAGAAACTGAGATGTATCGTCTTTCTTTGGGTAGCCATGTGCCAATTTAAACACTAGAGGTCTTAGTACTAAGTAAGACAGAAGAGATACTAGAGGCAACAAGGAATTTCTGTCACAAAACAGAAAAATGCAACTTTGCTTTAACTGCATCATTGACTTTTTTTATTAAGTCCTCATGCAAATGTTTTCTCGTCAAATAACAGTGTGATACAGTGATTTCAATATAAATCACAGCTCAGGTCCTCCGGTCTGCTGGCTCATTAACACGTATTATTAAGTCTGAAAATCTAGGTGTCTAGAGGATGACACGGTGCTGACCAAAGCAGTGTTGTGGTGCAAGGATAAAATTCCAAAGAATTGTAGAGTCCTTTATAAATACACTGACCTGTTTGAATACTCAGTAGAGTTACTATTACAAGACTGTCATGACTATGAGGAGGAATGTGGCATCAGGATTGGAGGAAGACTCATGAACAACTTGCATTATGCCGATGACACAACCCTGCTGCTGAAACTGAGGAGGACCTGAAGTGCTTGCTGCAGAAGGTCAAGGACTGTAGCCTTCAATATAGATTGAAGCTCTGCATCAGGAAGACAAAGATTCTCACCACAGGGCCAATTGGCAGCAGCATGATAGATGGAGAAGAGATTGAGATTGTTAACAGCTTTAGTTTGCTTGGCTCCACAGTCAACACTCTTGGTGCCAACAGCCAAGAAATCAAAAGAAGAATTTCATTGAGAAAGTCTGTTGTCAGGATCCACTCTAGAGTACTGAAGAGCAACAATATCAGTCTAGAAACTAAGTGCGCCTGATCTAGGCCATAGTCTTCTCAATTACTTGTTACGCATCAGAAAGCTGGACAATGAGTGACTAGGGATGATAGAAAGGTAATTGAGCTGTGGTGCTGGAGAAGAGTATTGAATATATATACCATGGACTGCCAGGAGAACAAACAGTTTCATCCGTGAGAGGATGAAACCAGGCTTCTCTTTGGAGGTAAGAATTCTGAAACTTCGTCTGACATTCTTTGAGCATGTTGCAAGGAGGAACCAGTCCTTGGAAAGGGATATCAGACCTTGGGAGGGTGGAAGGACAGCACAAGAGAGGAAGACCCTAGATGAGATGGATTGATTCAGTGACTGGGATATTGGGGGTAGGTGTGTCAAAGACAATAAAATTGGCACAAGATAGAGGAGGGTTCAGAGCTGTTGTATATAGGGTCTCTGAATCACAGGCAACTCAATGTCACGTAACAAAAACTTCGTAACTAACTTTAAAATATTTGCAAGAATAGTATTAGACTCTCATGACTAACCTATAGAAGAACTTTAGATTGCATAAATTTTCTCCCCCTTCCATTTTTCAAAATATTCACTCTATTTCCTTTTCCTATAGGAAATTTTTCTGAAGTTTTGATGTTAATTAACTCTAGATGATTTTTATAATTTTATATTATAGTGAAAATGTATAGAGCTAAACATTTACCAATCAATATGTTTTACATAAACAATTTGTTTTTGTTGTTGTTGAGTATAGTTGAGTTGAAACTGACCCATAGTCACGTTTATGATATCTATCATGTCGTATCCACCATGATCAATAGAAACTCAGAGCTTATCTAAGAAATAGCACTGAATAAAGTCATATGCCTGAACCAAGGAACCAAATCCTGTGAGGTGTTTATTTCTACCTTTTGATATCATGTGCAACACTATAATTAACATTGGTGTACAATTATCAAAGTCATTACATTTTAGTCTCTTGGGTATGTATTTAATACTAGAACTGTTGAGTCATGTGGTAATTCTTAGATTAAATTTTTTAGTTTAAGTGATAAGCATTTTATGTCTTTTTATTTTCTGTTCTTTTTTTTTTTTAGGGAACTGGAACAAGTGAAGACGCATTGATTGAAATTCTAACCACAAGAACAAGCAGGCAGATAAAGGAGATCTCCCAAGCCTACTATACAGGTAGTCTTATTCTGTGCTTCCATATAACAGTGTTCATACTAATGTAGACCTGATCCAAGTCATGATATTTTTGTTTGTAATAAGTATATTTTTCTTTCATTGCTACTTGTTTTTCCACATTATAATATTTTACATTTACTCATCTGCATGAGAAAGCCAGACAATATATAAGGAGGACTAGAGAAGAATGAAACCATTTTGAACTGTCGTATTAGAGAAGATTATATAACATAACATGGACTTCTGGCCTAGCGGGTAAGGAGTTGCACTGCCCACCCAAAGGCAGGTGGTTTGCCTCTACCACCTTCAGGAGAAGTATGGACAGTCTCCTCCCATGAGATTTATAGCTAAAAACCCAATGGAGGGTCAGCTGCTGGTCAGTTCTGACTCTACAACAATGAGTTTTGAGTTGAGTCAAAAGAATTTATAAATTTGCCTTGGAAACAGTGAAGCTAAAATGTTCTTTTTAAGTGAAGATACTATGACTTCATCTCACATACTTTGGGTATGTTATCAAAAGGGATCAGTCTTTGGGGAAGCGCATTATGCTTGGTAGAGGGTCAACAAAAAAGAGAAAGACCCTCAATGCGATGGATTTATACAATGTTTGGAACAGTGGGCTCAAACATGGCAATAACTGTAAAGATAGCTGAAGACAAGGAGGCATTTCATTCACAGTGAACACTGTGTCACTATGGGTCAGGAATAACTCAGCAGCACCTAATAACAACACACATATACGAACCAATGATGCTTTCCCCACAAACCCACAAATATCTTCTACACAAAGCATTGCAAGGAAGCAAAACCTAGAAAAGGAAGGTACTTTCTGAAATGAGCTGCAGACTGGATTTTCAGAGAGTTTCAGCTTCAAAGTGGTACATGACAATGGCATTAATACCCAACAGTTCCAATATTACAGCTGTAATGGCTTTTGCTATCATTAATAATTGTTAAATTAGCTCAACCATTTTTATCAAATGTGGGATATTTAAATCATTATAATTATTATATGTAAAAAAACTACTCAGGAGATGTAGGGCATGATGTCAGAGTGGGTTAATGTAATGAGCCTATTTACTTCTCAGTAACTAATTCACTAAAAAATGAATTAAAGCAAGCTCAGACAGATATCTCGGAACTCTAGTTGACAGCAGAAATATGGGAGAGCTGATGTGAATCCAAAACCAGTTGGTGTTGATTTCCGTCAAGTCAAGCACAACTCAGAGTGACCCTATGAACAAAAGACTTGAAGCCTTTCTGTAACTATCCTCATTTCTCCAAGTTCATAAAGTTTCCAGAGGCATGTTGTTTAGGAAGTGGATAACACTCCTGCTTCCAAACCTTTCTTAAACTGGGGGCTTCACCAAACACTGTCCACCATGGGTACTGTTATGGCATTTGACATTCCAATGGCACAAGGTTCAGCATCACAACAACCCCAGGTTACCTCAGTACAGAAAATTGACAGAGAGTGCTGTAACACTTAGAACAATGTTTCTCCAAAATATAATAACTAACTTAAATACAGAGGCCCTCCGTGAGATCTTGTTGACTCTAAACAAGAGGCTTAAAAATGCTGTTGTTGTAGAGGAGGAAATAACATCAGGAGCATTAATTTGTCACAATCATTTTGAGAGTAAATCTAGTTTACACTCCAAAGAATAAAAAAATGATCTAATCTGTTGAAGTTCCAGCTCAGGTTTTTTTTAAAGTCAGTGATCGGTCATGTGAGTTTGCGGATTGAGCAGTTAGATGAGGGCTCAGTCAGAAACATTTCCAAATTATTGAAAAGCAATTATTTCAGTTTGAGGACTAAGGTGTGCCTAATTTAGCCCATGGTCTTTTCAGTCCCTTGCTGTGTTTGTAAGAGCTGGACAGTGAATAAGAATGGCAGATGAAGAATTGGTACCTTTAAACTGTGGTTTTGAAAAACAGTATTGAATATCCCATGGACATTCAAGGGAACACATAGTTAGAGAACAAACCTTCTCTTGAAGAAGCTGCAGCTAGAGTATTCCATGGAGACAAAGATGATAAAGCTTTGTCTTATATACTTTGGGCATGTTTCTAGGAGAGGCTACTCCTTAGAGAGGGACATCATGCTTGAAAAGATGGAGGGACAGCAAAAGAAAGACCTTTAACTAAATGGGTTGGCACAGTGACTACAGCAATGGGCTGAAGTATGTCAGAAGTTGTGGGGATGGCACTGGCTAGGACAGGGTGCAGATCAGTTCTTCATAGGTTTGCTATGAGTCCTACTTGACTCAATGGCATCTAATAACAACCACCACTAGTGGAGAAAAGACACAGAGAGCCCCACATAGGAAAGTTGTTTTGCACCTCCAAACAACTAAACCACCCACTCCTGCATAAGTCTACTGAATTCCAGAAGCAAGCATTTAACGGACCTCCTGAATGAACACTGGAAAAATACCCTAAGATTAAGAGTGACCTCTGGTGGTTCTCTTGAGAAGATAACAAATTCACTACTACTGGGTCATTCTGGCTCGCAGTGAGCCTGCAGGCCTGAGGGGAGCTGCTTCATCTCCAAGCTGTGAGTATTGTCAGAGACAGTTGGCTATGGCTTTCTCCCACGTAATAGCAGATATATGCATGCAATGGCCGTTCAGTAGCTGCTAGTTATTGGCACCATGCTTTGCAAGGATGCTATATAATAAACAAAGTACAAACCTTAAAGTAAAAAAAAAAGGAAAGGGAGGGAACCTGAATAAAATTGTCCAAGATCAACAAAAGTTAGTAAAACACAACAAAAATTATAGGAGAAGGACTAGTCAACAAAAACATGAAGAAGAAATCTCTCCTCTGGATCTGAGAACTTTAAAGCCATGGAATTAAACAGAGAAGTACACAGAAAACAAACTAGCATTCAGGAAACAAAAGTACAAATAGAAAAAAATGACTATAGCAAAGATAGTAACAATGTTTTTTCACTACTAGAAGCATCAAAAGACAGAATATATAAAGAGTCACTGTACCAAAAAGAATTAGGTGATATTGAACAATTTCAGAAAGTACCATATAAATAGGAGTCAGTGATGATTAAAGAAGGCATTCAAGCAGCACTGAAGACATTGGCAAAAAATAAGGGCTCAGGAATTGATGGAATACCAGTTGACATGTTTCAACCAACAGATGCAGCCCTGAACACTCTCACCAGTCTGTTGTTGTTGTTGTTATGTGCCATCAAGTCGCCTGTGACTCATAATGACCTTATGTACAACAGCCCTAAAGCCTGCTTTACCCTGTGCCATTCTTACTGACTCTGACACACCTACCCCTGTTACCCTAGTCACTGAATCAATCCACCTCATTGGGGTTCTTCCTCTCCTGTGCTGTCCCTCCACCCTCCCAAGCCTGATGTCCCTCTCCAAGGACTGGTCCCTTCTTGCAATATGTCCAGTGTATGTCACATGAAGCTTCAGAATCCTTGCCTCGAAGGAGCAGCCTGGTTTCAGCCTCTCCAGGACGAACTTGTTTGTTCTGTTAGCAGTCCGTGGTATGTTCAATACTCTTCTCCAACATCACAGCTCAAAGGCATCAGTTATCCTTCTATCATGCCTAGTCATTGTCCACCTCTCTGATGCAAGTGATAGCAAAGACCATGATCTGTATCAAGTGTACCTTAGTCTCAAGACTGACATCATTGCTCCTTGGTACTTTGGAGAAGTTTCTGACAGCAGACTTTCCAAAAGCAAACCATGTTTTTATATCCTGGCTGCTGGTGCCAAGAGTGCTGACTGTGGAGCCAAGCAAACTAAAGCTGTTTACAGTCTCAGTCTCTTCACAATCCATCACAGTGCTTCAAGTTGGCCCAGTGGTAACTATGCCAGGAAATTTGGAGGACAGCTGACTGATTGAAAGAAAGCTATATTTGCTCCTATTTCCAAGAAAGATAATCTAACAGAATTTGGAATTTATTGTTATCACTATCACATGCAAGCAAAATATTGCTGAAGATCATCCAAAACTGACTAGAATAGTATATTAACAGAGAACGGCCAGAAGTTCAAGTTGAGTTTAGACGAGGGTATGTGACTAGGGATATCATTACTTATGTCAAATTAATTCTACCTAAAAAAGGGAATATCAGAAAATTGTCTGTTTGTAAATTTTCTGTACTGAGGTAATCTGGGTTTGCTGTGATGCTGAACCCTGTGCCATTGAGATGTCTGATGCCGTAACAGTTACCCATGATGGACAGTGTTTGGTGGAGCTCTCAGCTTAAGAGAGATTTGGAAGCAGGAGTGTTATCCACTTCCTAAACAATGTGCCTCTGGAAACTCAGTGAACTTGGAGAAATGTTAGTTACAAAAAGGCTTCAAGCCTTTTGTTCATAGGTCACTATAAGTCAATGGCAGTCAACAACAACATGAAACCTACATCAGGATCAAGAAACTGTTGTCTGAAAAGAGCAAGGGAACATTGTATGGTTTAAAATCAGGAAAGATATTCGTCAGGATGGTACCCTTTTGCCTTACCTATTGTATCTGTATCGTTCAAGAAGCTGGACTCTATGAAGAAGAATGTGTCATTATGTTTGGAGGAAGACTAATCAACAACCTGCATTACACAGATTACACAACCTTACGTGCTGAAAGTGAAGAAGACTTGAAACTCTTGCTGCAGAAGATCAAGGACTACAACCTTCAATACAGATTATATCCCAATGTCAAGAAGACAAAAATCCTCACCAGTGGGCCAATAAGCAACATCATAATAGATGGAAACAAGATTGAAATTGTCAACAATTTCATCTTACCTGGATCCACAATTAACACCCTTGGTACTATCAGTCATGAGATCAGGAGACCTATTGCATCAGGCAAGTCTGCTGTTGGGGACATCTCTAAATTACTGATGGGCCATGATGTTAGTTTGAAGACTTAAATGGTGCCTGATTCAGGCCATAGTCTTTTCAGTCACTTGCTATGTATCTGACAGCTTGCCATTAAGTAAAGATTACAGAAGAGTTGATG